TGAATAAGCAATAACCTTAAATTATTAATAAAATATAGGTATTGGCACATTATGTGGGCAAAGATCAAAAGGTTAGGATCAATATTTACAAATAGGGGTGGGATCAAATTAGAGGGGTAGAGCCTATGTGTCATGGTTCTCGGCTCTTCTCTTGTTGTGGCTGCACATAAACTTCTCAGCCACGCCGACAGAAAGGTTTCAAACTTACCTTGGTCGCGGCAGGCAGATGCCCGGTTTCAAAATTCCAGTCCACAGGGGGTGAGATGTTCTTAGGAATGCCGGCCGCTGTGGTTCAGGATTTATAATAAATTTACCTCTGTGCACATTAAAGATCGCACCAACGTGCGTGTGACGTCACGTCATAGATGTCTACACACGTTTTGGGATCAGATGTCGGAGACAGACAATTACAGACTAAAGAGGGTTATTTAAACCCAAATTATCTTTTTTGTCAGTGCCCTGTCATGGTTTCCACTAGCTGGTTATTTGAGAGTGTGTTCCTGATCGTGTTTTTTCTGGTATTTGACTTTGGCTTTGTTTTGACTTCCCTGATTTCTGGTATCCTTGACTTTTTGCTCTCCTGATCGTTGCGTCTCATTCTGTGTCCCTGACCTCGGTGAGTATTTTGACTATTCTCGGGTACGTTAAGTCCGGCCATTCTAAGGTCTGGTTAGACGTTACCCGTAGTCTTTAGGTGTGATACAATTCTGCATGCTGGATCAACTATAATCCTGACACTATGATGATAGGGTCTGTTTTATTTTACAATTCTATTACACAGTTTGCAAATTACATCATAAACCAGTCTGGACAAGACAAAGCCAGAACAAGCATTGCAAATGAAGAGGAGAAATAAAAACATTGTCTCATTTCTCTTATTCTCTGTTCAATTTCTCTGCTAACTGTCAGGTGCAAATGACAGAGCTTATATAGTGATGATTGACAGGTAACAAAGTACAAGGTGTGCATTTGCAGGAAATAGATGTGCAAAATTCTACCTTTTATTTTATTTTTCTTATCTCACAAAAACATATTTGTGAAATATAGGCATATATATATATATATATATATATATATACGTCCCAGGTCCCAGCACTCAATGCTCCCGGTCTTTTAATGCTCCGGTGCTGTCTCCAATTTTGCTATATAACTGAGTTAATATTTAGCTAATGATGCTATGTACTATGTATCTATGTTCCCTTGGTTAGGGTTGAACCATTTGTATATACTTTATTTTTATAGTTATTTATCTTTTATTACTTTCTGACTTATCTACACAAAAGTATGTTTCACCTACCGATTACACATAGGGTTAACTTCAATTTATTACATAATTCAAACATGTTTACATTAATGATATCACTCTGATCCGTTGTTACATTTCACCTGTTCACCTCCAAATAGGATCACTGCATGTTTTTGTAAATATATAAGGTATCAACGTTTCAGTCTGTTAACCACAGACTTTCATCAGGATCCTGATGAAAGTCTGTGGTTAACAGACTGAAATGTCGATTTTTGTATTAGCTCATTAAAAGTTAAGTTTTATTTTTTGTTTATAGTCCTGAGAGTGCTATCTGATTTTTCTTTTTGTATTTTGCTGGACAAGCACCGGGCATTGGAATTTCTATTTGATGTAGTGCAGGATTTTTTCCTTTTATATATATATATATATATATATATAAACATAATATAAAAACATGGAGAATTCAAAATTCCCCATTGAAACTACTATATTTTCAAGTAGGAGTTTGACCACGCAGACAAGACAAAAGTGAGAGCTTTTAAATAATTGTGCATTATATTAAAGCTTTTTTAAATTATATCATTACTGTTTTAAGTACACATGTTAGCAAGGTTAAACACGTTACTCAATACACACTCTGCTGTATGTATGCATGACTAGAAATGTTGTCGTAGCAGGTTTGAGTTGGTACTTCTCTGGAATCTCAGATTGGAGATGTGGAGAAGCAAATAATAAGTTATACCTTAGAGATTGGCATAAGGTTAAATGAGAAAAACTTAGAAACATATATATAGAACAGACTAGGCAAAACTATGCAACTATTTTGAGGTTCCTTGGCCCTCACCTTTCTGCAGCAAAACCACCACATGTTTGCAGATCCAAAGGATTTGCTTTAGTGCTATACCCAGAGATATGACTCTTTTTGTGTACTGCTACTTTATAAAAACACCACCTTTTATACTTGGATTTTCTTTTATTTTTGTCGTTTGCGGTTGTTTCTTAATTTTTTTTTATCAAGGGACATTATAAGATCTTATTGTGATTTTTCCTTTTCCCCATTTATTGCTGATATTATCTGGTTTTAATTATCTGATTTTAATAATATATATTGTCTTTTTTGGCCCACCCTGGTCTCTCTGTTTTTTTAGAACTATGCAATACCAGTCTGCTATTGCAAAGACTAGTAAGGTACTGTTTATAAAAGACCCTTACCTTGAATATATGTACAATTCAACAGCTTTAGAAAAGGGAATTGAAGAAATGAAAAATACTGCAGAGTTGTGCTAACAAAATAATACATTGAATGGACGATTGTAAATATAATAAAAACTGCATTCATTTTCTTTTGAAAAAAAGCTATTTCAGAGAAGATGTATATCACTACACAAATATGTACAAGACCAGTACAAACATAACTACGTTATCCTTTCTATGCAGATGACACGCAAATCTACCTGTCCTCTCCTGATCTCTCCCTGTCCCTCTTGACTAGTGTCTCTGACTGCCTCTCTGCTGTTTCTAACTGGATAGCTGCCCACTTCCTTAAACTAAATTTGACCAAAACTGAAATTCTGGTCTTTCCTCCCTCAAGTGTTGTTACTCCTGTGTCTGTCTCCCTCCAAGTCAACGGTGCTACCATCAGCTCCACCACGCAGGCTCGCTGCCTAGGTGTTCTCTTTGACTCCGACCTCTCCTTCAAGCCTCATGTTCAATCTATCGCCAAATCCTGTCATTTCCATCTCAAAAACATTGCGCGCATCAGCCCCTACTTAACGCCAGATGCGATTAAGGTGTTGGTCCATTCCACTGTGCTTTCTCGACTTGACTACTGTAATCCACTTCTCAGTGGTCTTACGTGCTCCCAACTAGCGCCGTTACAGTCCATAATGAATGTGGCGGCGAGGCTCATCTTCCTGTCAGCCCGCACCTCCCATGCCTCACCCTTCTGTCAGTCACTACATTGGCTTCCTATAAAATATAGAGCTCAATTTAAAATTCTGGTTCTTGCTTTCAAATCTCTACATAATGCTGCTCCCACCTATCTATCCTCCCTTATACACAAGTATGTCCCGTCTAGGCCCTTACGATCTGCTGAAGACTTACGTCTATCTTCTGTCCGTACTCCCACCTCTGATGCTCGCCTTCAAGATTTCTCGAGGGCTGCACCGTTCCTGTGGAACTCGCTTCCCTCCTCCGTTAGATGCTCACCCAGTCTCCACTCCTTCAAAAAATCGTTAAAAACCCACTTCTTCATAAAAGCGTATCAATTAAACTGTTAATAGCTCCTGACTGATTCCTCTTCTGCAACTGTCACTAGTCTAATACTATCCTTACCTTTTTGTGTCATTTTACCCCACTCCCTCTAGCATGTAAGCTCATTGAGCAGGGCCCTCAACCCCTCTGTTCCTGTGTGTCCAACTTGTCTGGTTACAACTACATGTCTGTTCGCCCACCCATTGTAAAGCGCTGCAGAATTTGACGGCGCTCTATAAATATAATAATAATAATAATAAAATACATTAAAGACTTCAATATTTTATTCTGAACATATAATACTGTACATAATGAGTAATACACACACACACACACATATATATATATATATATATATATATACATATTTTTTTATTTTTTTAAATCAGTTCAGTGCATCATATAGAAAATAATGTATATTAAAATTAATGAATGGCTAACCATCTGTCATAGTAATTTAACAAACCTTTACCAAACATATAATAACCGTAAATGCAACAGATTTCAAAATTCAGTAATAAAATAAATTATATTTCTTATTTTCATATCACATATTCACGCTTGGCAATCATCATCATTTTTACTTCATTTATTACTAAGATCATTTTAGAGATTTAGAGTACTTGAATTAAATACATGACTTTGGTAACTATATTTCTATGAACACATTAATATTTGAGTCTCTGATTGATAGGAATTGCAGTACATAAGAATCAGTGGTGTCTGCATATTCATAGAAATTAAATTGTGCCTGCAGGTGGTTGTAAATCAGTTTGTGCTATAAATCCATGTAAATGTTACATTTCAAATATCATAAAGTACTTTTAAGGAATAAAATGTTTCCAAAAAAAGCTGAAATAAGGCAGCATTCAGACATTTGGTTTGACACGTCTGAACATGTCAATTACAAAAAAGAAAGTACTGCTTTGGATATATCTCATGACTAATGTATCCCTGGCATACCTAATATGAAGGAAAGGGAGCAATAGAATGGTCATGACCTATTCTCCAAGACACTGTACTTAAAAAGAACTATCCTTCAAGGTTCTTCTCTTATGATCATGCAAAGAAGCCTTTTACAACCCAAGCTCAAATAAATATGCTCACCAGTAATCTCAGAGCTCCTTGCAACTAAAAAATGTATTGTGCAAAAACATTAATGTGCTGTACTCAAGGAAGGAATCGGTACAGTTGGAAATCTGAACAAGAAATAGAAAATTTCTAATGAAATAAACAATTAAAAAGTGGAAAACGTTACACTAGAGGTTTTGATAGCAAATACGTTAATGTAAACATCACAAACAGCCACCAACATACTTTACAGATTGATTGGCCTAAATCCTGTATATGAGTAAGGCCAACTGAGGCTAAACTTTGCATTTTATTAGTTATATATAGTGATGTCCCGAACGGTTTGCCGAACGGTTTGCGAACGGTTCACCACGAACGGTTCGCCACAGACTCATCATTGAGTAAACTTTGACCCTGTACCTCACAGTCAGCAGACACATTCCAGCCAATCAGCAGCAGACCCTCCCTCCCAGACCCTCCTACCTCCTGGACAGCATCCATTTTACATTCATTGTGAAGCTGCATTCTTAGTGAGCTGTCCAGGAGGTGGGAGGGTCTGGGAGGGAGGGTCTGCTGCTGATTGGCTGTAATGTGTCTGGTGACTGTGAGGTACAGGGTTAAAGTTTACTCAATGATGAGTCCGTGGCGAACCGTTCGCGAACCGTTTGGGACATCACTAGTTATATATAATCTATTTGATTTAAAGTATTAGACATCACACCAGCTTTTGTAGCCTATTCTACACTACCTATTGTATATTTATTTCAAATTCAAACAAATGAGCCACCTAAATATACAAGCAAGAACTCCATGTCATGAAGTGAGAAGCCCTGCAGAAACACATTCTTATAGAAAACAGTAAATAATATTTAACTTTGGGCATCTATTTTTTATGTTAACTTTTTTTAAAATTAATAATAAAAGAATGGTATTACATAATGGGGTGAGTTATTTAATAGATATACAACGTTAGGCTTTTGTCAGGTGATCTATTGAATAAATATCATGTTTTGCTGACTTGTAAAATAACTGAGAAGTAATAGTTAACTAAATTTTAAATTTAAATTAGAACAATATGAAATAATAACATATTTACTAATAATGACAAAGGATTTTTTTTTACGGTGACTATTTAACATGGAAATATAGAATGTGGGTCGATAAATAATACAGAATAACAAATTTAAATTATCCTCATTTCTATAAATATGTCATATAATCAGTATATTTTCTAGCACATAACACGGGCAAAGCACCATCTTACCATCAAAGTACCCTATAGCGCAATTCGAAGGAACTTATCTCAGCTAACACAACCAGCTAGTAAGTGACATTTTTTACATTACTATGATTTATCATGAGAAGCTCACAAACGCGAATTTGCCAGAATATAGCTATCCAATTTCAGTGATGACTCAGCTTGCAAGTACACCTTACAGCAATTCTTGGAAATTTATAATTTCCTTTTGATTGAGACTTTGCCAGCATTGTGTTCCTATTGACTTCACCAGTGAGTTAATCATGCACACTGACGGTTTCCTGAAGAAAGGCTTTACAATAGAAATCAATTCATTTTGAAATATTTGAAAGAAATCTCCTCCAATTTTAGAAAAACATTTTTTACAGAAAACATAAAAGCCGAGAAATAGTGCAAAGTCAGTTGTGGTGTCTGGAAGCCGACGTTCGGTTAGGTCTGTAAATAAAGAGTGTGCAACAAGGTAGTGATCGACAAATGGGAGCAGTTGGTGGGATGAATCAAGCTACAATGACTCTGAGGAGGAGTCTGCCTGTGTTTAAAGAAGAATGTATAAAACCACTAATATCACACCTTGTTTATCATTATTTTCTTTTTTTCTGTCTACTAATTTCTTAATACATGGATTATGGGTGCTGTGAGGTATTTTTTGTACACTTTTCTTTATTTCTTTAGAACGTAACATTTTCTTTTGCAATGTATTTAACCCCTTAAAGCCGGAGGGCGTACTATTACGTCCTATTTTAGGCGGCTCTAAACGCCGCCGGGCGTAATAGTATGCCCTCCGTTTTTGATTTTTTACTGACCCGGGCCCGCGGCACATATGACGTCCTGAAGCCCCCCCCCCCGGCCATGTGAGAGTGAGGTTCTTGCAAGGACCTCACAATCACATGGCCGGGATAGCTGGCTTCTGTATTGCCAGCAGGGGGGCTGCCTGTAATGACAGGTGGTCCCCCTGCTGGCTGGAAATAAAATAAAATTAAAGTTAAAAGTGTAAAAAAAAATTATATACTTAGATCATATATATATGTTATATATATATGATCTAAGTATATATATATATATATATATATATATATACACACACATACACACACATATACTGTCTAGGTGTATTTTACTATTAAGATATATATAATTATATATATATATATATATATATATATATTAATATCAAATTACACGTAGACTGATACTGATTGAATATATATATATATATATATATATATAATTATTGTTATATATAAATACGTAAAAAAATAAAATTAAAAAAATAATTAAAAATAAATAATTAAAAAATATATAGATGTGTGTAATTTCGTTCTAACTGTATTGTGATATTAATATATATATATATATATATTTATATCAAAATACACGTAGAACTAAATAATATATATATATATATATATATATATATATATATATATATATATATACATACGTATATATCACTATATATATATACCTATATATAAATAAAAATATTTTACAAAAATTATATATATATATATATATATATATATACACATATATATACACATACGTATATGTATACATACATTAATTCTACATATATATTTATGTAATATTTTTACATAATTAGGTATCTTAATTAATTACAATTAGCGGGACCTGCCTGACAACCCATGCCGAAAGTAAAGGGAATTTAATTTGCTAGCACTATATTTAACCCTATAACTTTCCAAGACACCATAAAACCTGTACATGGGGGGTACTGTTCTACTCGGGAGACTTCGCTGAACACAAATATTAGTGTTTCAAAACAGTAAAATGTATTACAACAATGATATCGCCAGTAAAAGTTAAGTTTTTTGCATTTTTCACGCACAAACAGCACTTACACGGACGATATTATTGCTGCAATACTTTTTACTGTTTTGAAACACAAATATTTGTGTTCAGCGAAGTCTCCCGAGTACAACAGTAACCCTCATGTACAGGTTTTATGGTGTTTTCAAAAGTTACAGCGTCAAATATAAGGCTTGTGTTTCATTTTTTTCACATTAAAATTTGCCAGATTGGTTAGGTTGCCTTTGAGACCCTATGGTAGCCCAAGAATGGAAATTACCCCTATGATGGCATACCATTTGCAAAAGAAGACAGCCCAAGGTATTGCAAACAGGGTATGTCCAGTCCTTTTTAGTAGCCACTTGGTCACAAACACTGGCCAAAATTGGCATTTTTTACACACAAACAAATACTAACGCTAACTTTGGCCAGTGTTTGTGACAAAATGGCTACTAAAAAAGACTGGACATACACCATTTGCAATACATTGGGTTGTCTACTATTGCAAATGGTATGCCATTATGGGTGTAAATTTCATTCCTGGGCTACAATAAAGTCTCAAAGGCAACGTAACCAATCCGTCGAATTTCTATTTCAAATGTAACGTGTTATATTTGACCCTGTAATTTCCCAAAATGCCATAAAACCTGTACATAGGGGTACTGTCCTACATGTGAGACTTTGCTGAATACAAATATGTGTATTTTATTGCAGTAAAAGCAAACAGTATTATGACATTGACAGTTAAGATGTCATGTAGAACTAAAGAAAATTAAAAAAAATCTTATTTTCTCCCATTTTTTTCATATTAAATTATGTTTCATAGCTAAATATTTGATATTAAATGAAAGCCCTGTTTCCCCTGAATTAAATGATATATAATAAGGGTGGGTGCATTTAATATGAAAGAGGTGAATTATGGTTGGACAGACATGTAGCGTAAATGCCAGGTTTTGTTTACATTTTGTTTTGTTCACAACGTGTACATTTGGCTCCGTCCTTAAGGGGTTAAAATAGATGGGTAACTATTTTTTTTTTTTGTCCATTCAGAATATTTAATTAATAATGGGGAAAAATGCACTTTTGAATACAGATTTATATTTAGCTGAATTTTCTTATCATCAATTCAAATGGACTTAAACAACAGCTGGTGTCAGTTACAGCTTCTGTTATACACCATTAGGGATATTTAACCTCAAATATTATGTTAGCACCTAATAACATACATATTTAGGTTAGCTAATTGCAATGCATATGAGGCTAAAATTAAATAACAAGGTCAGTTGCTTGCATTTTGTTACACAGGTATTCTAATTACATTACGAAAACAAATGATTTATGGACATTAACAACAACATCCAGAAAAATGCAAAATAATTCACACACAGAAAAAAAACATGGTTAACTGGCCTTACAGTACAAAAAACCCTGTTGATTTCATATATCTTTTTGTATAGCTAAAAGGGCCCTCAAGAGATTTATATGGTTCCACTCAAACTAAGCAATCTATTTGAATTTGATCTATAGCTTTTTTAAATTTTATTTTTTGAACTATAGATTTTAACGCAGGAAGTGGGATATTTTCCTTCTAAGGCTATATAGAGGGACAAAATAAAGCTCTGCTCTAGCAGTAAAGGTTTTTTTCTCTGTAGAGTGAATAACAGCACTGGATCAAATAAAAAGATAAGTTGAGCTTTATGAGTTAAATATTTGTTTTGCATTGCTGAGCAAGGAAAAACAAACAATATCATGAATAACAACATTTGCATGTACAGGGGAAGTTTGAGTTAATATAAAACTGATGGTTTGTTTATAATGAAAAAATCGAACTATTGCATGGATTTTTAAGGGCCTCTGCACCAGAAATAAAAACAAAAAAATGAAATGACTTTCTAACCGTTGGGTGCTGAGGGAGGGAGGGCCCACCTCGGTGACAGGCTGCGGGGGGTGTGCACTGATAATAAAGGAGCTTTGTACTGATACCAGCCACAGCATTGATACAGAGGTACAGGGAGCTGGAAAATCCATGCAGAGCAATCCCAGCAGCTACCTATTTCAATTGATTTTCAAGGTAAGAAAAGGAAGGCTCGGTGGATCTCACTGTGTAAATAATAAATACATAAACAAATAAAAATGAACTCGTTAAGAAAGGAGGCAATTATACAAGTTGTAATGAAAACAAAAAGGGTGGCAAAATACATTTCTGTCCCAAGTTCCATGTAACCTAGGTATGCCTCCTAAAACACCTATTGTAATAAAATAATATAGACACTTACCATTTACAAATTCACTCTATTGTGTTTTTTTTTCTAAACCTTCATTTTCAAGTATAGTATAGAGGATATCAATAGGTTTATACAAATCTGGTGGGAATAATGAATTGCTTATTCCAAGATATATATCACGTCAGAGTTTTTATATCCCAAAAATATGTTAGCTGAGCATCTTTCTAATTATATATTATGTCCCTTCCAGGCATATTTTATATTAAAAAAAAATCCAGACACATATTGCGGCATAATAGCTTCATA